TTTTTTTTTTTTTTTTTTTTTTTTTTTTTTTTGAGGGAGAGAGAGAGAGCACGCACGTATGAGCAGGGGGTTGGGGGAATGCGGGGCAGAGGGAGAGAGAGAATCCCAAGCAGGCTCCAAGCTCAATACAGAGCCTGATTCAGGGCTCTGAATCCTACTACCCCGAGTTCACAACCTGAGCCAAAATCCGAAGTCGGACAGTTAACCGACTGAGCCACTCAGGTGCCCGAATCCTTTTCTTATAGCATAAAAATATTTGTATTCTTACCTGGGAAAGACTCAAGTTTCCACAAAATAGCCCCAATATGGTCTGTATTTTTCAAAGTATGTTTATCTAAACACTTTTTTGTGTGTATATACATCTGTATGAAATAGAACGTGGTGGTAAAGATCTACATAATTTGTGCTAATGAATAACAGTTAGTGTAGTTTTCAAGTACTTCTTTTGCCAAGCAGTCTTGACCATTTTGTTCTAAACATAATGTGTATAAAAAAGAATTAACCAGGGGTGCCTGGGTGGCTCAGTGGGTTAAGCTTCTGCCTTCAGCTCAGGTCATGATCTCAGGGTCCTGGGATCGAGCCCCGCATCGGGCTTTCTGCTCAGCAGGGAGCCTCCTTCCCCCTCTCTGCCTGCCTCTCTGCCTACTTGTGATCTCTGCCTGTCAAATAAATCAACAAAATCTTTAAAAAAAAAAAAAAAAGAATTAACCCAATTCAAAAATGGGCAAAGGACTTGAATAGTCATCTTCTCAAATAAGATCTAGAAATGGCCAGCATGCTGGCAAGAGTGTTGGGCACCCGGAACCCTCTTGCAGCACTGGTGGGGAAGTAAAATGGTGCGGCAGCTTTGGAAAACAGTATGGCAGTTCCTCAAAAAGTCAAATATGGGATTACCATAGGAACCAGCAGTTCTATTCCTGGGTATATACCCAAAAGAATTGAAAACAAGGATGAAGACTAATGTTGACTAAGCATTATTCACAATAGCAAAAAGGTGGGAACAACTTGTGTCAGTCCTCAGATGAATGAATAAATGAGAGGTAGGATGTGCACATGATGGAGTTACTTGTCAGTGTTTGTAGAAGGAAGGAGACTCTGACACCTGCTACAGCGTCAATGAACCTCAAGGACACGATGCTGGGCAAAGGAAGCTGGTCACAAAAGGACAAATATGATGTGACTGCATTTGAACGAGGTGCCCAGAGTAGGCAGATTGATAGGAACAGAAAGTCGAATGGAGATTATCGGGACTGTGGATGAGGGAAAGAAATCTTGGTTAGTTACACAGCATTGTGAGTGTCCTGAATGCCGCTGAGTTCTACACTTCCATGTGGTTATAGTGCTAAATTTTGGTAGATATATATTTACCATAATTTTTTTTTAAGATTTACGTATTTGAGAGAGAGAGCGTGCACTCAAGTGGGGGGAAGGGCAGAGAGAGAGAATCTTAAGCAGACTCTCTGCTGAGTGCAAAGCCTGGTGGAGAGTTCTGTCTCACTACTCTGACATCACAACCCATGCTGAAATCAAGAGTTGGACTCTTAACTGGCTAAGCCACCAAGGCACCCCTACCGTAACTTTTAGAAATTGGGGGAAAAGGAATTACATTTGTGCTTCTTGGTAGGCCTTCATAATGCCAGAGATCCAGAAGTGAGTAAGTCAGTATTCGCTTGGGGAGATGGAACCTGTGCATCCTGCTCCAGTTATGTGCGCTGGACAGAGAAGTGTGTCCCAAGTGAGAATTCACTGTCTGTTTTGAGTTACACTGAATGGATTTGAAATGTTAAACAACTATCTTTAATGACTCCTTGCATCAGGGAACGACAGGGTGATTTATAATAACTCAACCTTGATAGCCCATCAGGTGATGCTGTGTTGTTATTTTACATTTTGCGGGTATGATATTCCGGAAGGATTTGATGAATTTTTAATATCCCAATGTGTTATTTGATGTTCCATAAAACATGGAAACAACTTTATCTTGATTGCTGTTAAGGCTGTATGGTGTTCATATAATGATAACCGCCAACGTCCACTTACTGAATGCTTGTTGGGCACCAGGCATCATGTTGAGAATTTCATTTTCACAGCAGCTCTGTGAGGTAATTGCCACAGTTGTCCCCATTTTTCAGATGGGGGAACTCAATAGAGAGACTGTCATTTTCCCCAATTAACAGCTGGGAATTGAACCTAGGTGTCTTTGATTTCAGACCCGAAACTCTACAACTTCTTCAGAAGTAGAAAAATAAATAAATGAAAGCATACACATTCTTTCGCACTTTTTTACCTCCACAGTATATAATAGATGTTAGTGCTGCCTTGTATTTGAACCAAGATCCTGAATCTGGAAAATCCCCTTCAGGTGCTAGGAAGTGTTGTGACAAGGTAGTCTTACTAGTCTCACAACAGCATTGTTAATGGGGGGTCTGAATCTGCCATTTGACAATTCCTTCAGTTAAACAAAGCTTCTTGTCACGTTAACTTGCCAAGATATATTACATTAATTCTGTTTGTTGAGTGTTTTCTAACGGGGCGCCTGGGTGGCTCAGTTGGTTAACCGTCTGCCTTTGGCTTAGGTCATGATCCTGGAGTCTCAGGGTCGAGCCCTGCATCAGGCTCCCTGGTTGGCGGGGAGTCTGCTTCTCCCTCTGCCCTTACCCCACTTGTGTTTTCTCTCTCTCAAATAAATAAGTAGAATCTTTTTTAAAAAATGTTTTCTAAGAAGAAGTGGTTTGGTATGAAATTAGTTTTTTACAACTGGGGGAGGCCTCCGCATCTTCGCCACTGTTATCGCGCCCCACCTACGTTCTCCTCAGCCCCAGTAGCCGCACTGGCGCCGCTCCCCCAGCAGGCGATGCGAGAGACTGTACGGTGGCACTCCCTTAGCTTTCCGACCCTCAGAAGTGCGTTCCCCGGCAGCCTCAGTCCTGGGTGCTGGCCTCCTTTCCCCACCCCACCCATCCCGGCGTGGTGTCCACGGTCTCTGCTAAACCCCATCGGGGTGTCCCACCCACCTCACCCTGTTCAGAAGTTCGCATGAAGCCACTTCTGCTTTTAGGGAAGACCTGTATCAGTACCTACCTACCTTGCTGACCGAAAGAAATCCAAAGAGGATTTTTGCTTTTATGAAAAAAGGTAAAAAGCAAAAATAACATTTGGCGTTTGTGTGGCAGCAGGCCACCACAGCGGCAGTGACACCCTGTGCGGAGCCAGTGGCCCGCCGAGCCCCTGCCCTGGGAACTGCACTTGGCATCCCTGGGTCTTAAGCACCTGCGCTTTGTCTCCAAGTATTCTGTGCGTCTGTTAGCAGGATGTGTGCTGAGGTATCCGAAAAGCCAAAGAGAGGGGCACCGGGGGGCTCAGTCAGTTGAGTGTCCAGCTCTTGGTTTCAGCTCAAGTCATGATCTCTGGGTCATGGGATCCATCATGTCGGGCTCCACGCTCAATGAGCAATCAGTTTGAGATTCTTTCCCTCGCCTCTGCCTCTCCCCGCTGCTCACTCTCACACACAAATAAATAAAATCTCAAAAAAAAAAAAGCAAAAGATATTATTCTGGGGTCTAGAAATGGTCAAAAATTTTCCATATGAATTAATAATAATTGCTGCTTTACTTTCTGCCATTTTGGCTTAATGAACATTTCCTAGGCACACTCCACGTGCAGATAGCTGGGGAAACCTGTAATTGTTGATCACACGGATGAAACAGACATTTGCCTGAGGAAAAACTACGCTTTTTTCCTGTAGAAATGTTGTGCCCTCCCGCTCTCGTGCTTGTGCTTCAGGTGCAGTGTAGTTCCAGGCCTTTCTAGGCCTTCTCGGGTGCTGAAAGCCATGTGTTTCAGTGAATTGTCTTTTTCTACGTAAACGTTTATCTGAGTAACTAGTCCACATGCTTTAGAAATAAAACCGTATATCAAGGGTGCCTGGGTGGCTCAGTTGGTTGAACATCTGACTCTTGATCTCAGCACAGGTCTTAACTCTCAGGGTTGTGAGTTCAAGCCCCGCATTGGGCTCCACACTGGGCATGGCGCTTACTGGGGGAAAAAAAAAAAAAAGAACATATGTTGAGGTTGCTTAGCATTTTCAAAGTACTTAGGTTAGTCTCCCACTAGAACGTAAGTCCTGCTGAGAGTCAGAATTTTTTTGTTACTCCTACTGTGTCCTCTGGGCCCAGGTCAGAACAGGCCTTGGCACCTTGGAGATAAAGAGGAAAAAAAAAAGAGACGGTAAGTGAATATGGCCGTCCTGCTTAAAGTAAAGGTACAGGATAGCTCAGGAGTAAAAAGCATAAATATTTCTCCTTCAGATCATTACAGTGGTATCAGTAAGCCAGATCACTATAACAGATGGAACTTTTAACATTTTCAGACATAAGTGCTTTGCTTTTTCCTAAGGATTCTGTGATTTGGTGGTAGGAAGGAATGGCCTGCTATTTACAGAATGGTTAAATTTGGAACTTAGTCCCTAAGGTGCAATGGCTAGCTTTTTTTTTTTTTTTTTTAAAGATTTTATTTATTTGACAGAGAGAGAGAAATCACAAGTAGGCAGAGAGGCAGGCAGAGAGAGAGAGGGGAGGAAGCAGGCTCCCTGCGGAGCAGAGAGCCCGATGTGGAGCTTGATCCCAGGACCTTGGGATCATGACCTGAGTAGAAGGCAGAGGCTTTAACCCACTGAGCCACCCAGGTGCCCCAATGGCTAGCTTTTTATCAAGAGCTGTGAAGTATACAAACAAAGGGAGGGTTGCTTACTCAGCATTTGATCCCTATGTCCTTATATGCATTGCTGACATAGGGCAATTAATCCCTATTAACTTTGTGGTAAGATACTTGCCTTATATCCATTTGCCAAGGAAAAAAGGTAAATTCTAACATTATACCAGGAGCCCCTAAAACTTGGGTTTTATTATAAATACAGATTTCTGCCCACCAGCGTGGGGAGGTGATTTGGCCTTAATCCCTAGCACATCTTCAGTTTGTTGGTTCCTTAGTTCCAGACTCCATCCATCCTTGCTTCTGCAAACTCTTTTGGTTGATGGGAAAGAAGTTTGGTTACACTGGTTTGCAAGAGATTTCTTTCATTGGGTGCTTCGATTTGTTTTTTGTAGTCTGCTCCATCTGGACACAAACATCTGACAGTGGAAGAATTATTTGGAACCTCTTTGCCAAAGGAACAGCCAGCTGTTGTGGGTCTGGATTCGGAAGAAGTGGAGAGGCTGCCAGGAGATGCCTCCCAGAAAGAGTCCAGCTCATTCCTACCATTTTCTTTCGAGCAGTCAGGAGGAGCCCCTCAGTCGGAAAACCTGGGTGTCCATCCTACTGCCCACCACTCAGTCCCACCTGAAGTCCCTACCCCGGTGCTGATCACTCCTGCCTCCATTACACAGTCCGGTGACAAACAGGCCCCAGGCTATGCCATCCCACTGCGCCCTGTGCTCAGTCCCACTTTACCAGCAGAAGCTCCTACAGCACAGGTTCCGCCCAGCTTACCCCGAAACACCACCATGATGCAGGCGGTGAAGACCACGCCGAGACAGAGGTCTCCACTCCTGAGCCAGCCAGTCCCTGAGCTGAGCCATGCCAATCTGACTGCCACCCAGAGCCCCTTCAGGGCCCCCCTGAGCGTGACAAACACAGCTGGTACATCCCTCCCAAGCGTGGATCTTCTCCAGAAACTCAGGTTGACCCCACAGCATGACCAAATACAGACGCAGTCTCTTGGGAAAGGAGCCGTGGCACCCAGCTTTTCCCCAGCAGCTGGCCAGCTGGCCACACCCGAGAGCTTCATAGAGCCTCCCTCCAAGACTGCCGCAGCTCGAGCCTCAGCAGCCCTGAGCAACATGGTGCTTGCTCCCCTTCAGGTACTGGCAGGAGGCTGGGTGGCTCTGACTGGTGGGGGAAGCTTCAGAGGCCTTGACAGTGACAACTAGGACGCAGTCCCTTCAAAGAGACAGCTGTTAGGTACATCTGGGTCCGGAAGACGGGAGGTAAGAAGCCCTGTAGTGAGTAGCCAGATCACTGATACGTGTTGGTGTGACTCAGTTCCACTGCCCCAGAGATAGCCCTGGTCAAGCCAAGAAGCCACACGAGTGTTTTCCTATCAGGGCATGCATTGTAGAGGGTTGGTTGGTTTCTGCCTCACAAGTCCAGAAGTCCACGTTTGACTCAGGACTGTAGATGCAGATTATCGCCAGCTTTGGCCCATCCCCAGTTCCCTTGGTATTCACTGAGTGCCCACCTTGGGCCAGGCACATTTGGGGTGCCATAACAGTATCCCAGATTTGGAGATACAGGATCAAGTGAAGCTTCCTAGTGAAGCTCATGTTCAGCTGAGATCTGAAGACTCAGCGGAAGTTAATCAGACCTTCCCTAGAGGTAGAGAAGAGTGTTTGAGACAAGGAAAGGAAAGTAGCATGTGCAGAGGCCTGGAGATGAGCAACATTTATTAAACATGAAGACCTGTAGTGTGGTCGGATCTCCTGCGGAAGGAGCTTGGAGGCGAAGTTACTGGCCAGTCAGCAGGGCTTTGGAAACTATGTGACGCAATCTGAGGCTTGTTCTCAGAGCCCAGGGAGGGCAGGTGGCCTCCTAAGGGCTTTGAGCAGAGGTGGTGAACAGGGAAGGAGAAGACGGAAGCAGGACCACCGTCAGGAAGGAGGCCAGGCGGTTACCCAGTCTTGAGCTGGTGGGGGCCTGACTTTGGGAGTATGGACCAGCGGGTTCGTTCACAAGTGTGAGCAGTGGGACCTGTTGGTCGATTGCAGGTGAGGTGTGAAGAGGCTTGTCCCTCAGTGATGGATGAGGCTGGCAAGTTTACAGGTGAGAGTCACCAGGATTTCAGCCCTGTGCCCTTTAATAATAACCCTGAATCTTAAGATTTCACCAAATAATAGTGTACAGAGAGTCCATCATAGTAATTGTATGTGATTTCATAGTTGATGGACAGTTTTGTTCCATTCTTTTGAAGTCCTGTACAGAAAGACAGAAAACAGTGTTTTGGTTCTATCTTGAAACTGTGCTTTCGGGCCATTTCTGTTGAGGTTTTGTGCAGTCTACGGAGAGAGAATGTTCTGACAGATGAGTACCACACCCCTGCCGAGCGCCTGCTGCTCTGGAAACCTGGCCAGCGGCCTGAACTGCCGCAGTGCCGCCCTGCTCCACTGTGCCTCCTTGCGGGGGCCCCGACGCACGTGTGCATTTGCATTTACCTCTCATTTCCTTCAGGGTCTGGGGCTCCACTGAATTTTTTTTTTAAGATTTTATTTATTTGACAGAGATCACAAGTAGGCAGAGAGGCAGGCAGAGGGGGGAAGCAGACTCCCCACTGAGCAGAGAGCCCAATGCGGGGCTCAATCCCAGGACCCTGAGATCATGACCTGAGCCGAAGGCAGAGGCTTAACCCACTGAGCCACCCAGGAACCCCAGCTTTACTGAATTTTAAATGTATTTGCTCTACAACACGAAGTTCTTTGTCTCCCAATGAATAAGGATAAAATGTAGCATGTGGAGGTGTAACTCTAGATGAAGGCTGTCTAGTGCCCCCTATCCAAAGTTCACGCCACCTTATCGAGGTTTCAGGCCACCAGGATGTGGCATCTCTACAGATTCAACAGCAAAACCGTGCGTGGGATGTCCCCACTCTTTTCCTTAGAGACGCCTTGAAGGTTCTGCACACAGCCCTGTTCTTGGGGAGACTGAGGGGGCGGGAGGGCGTCCCAGGGCCCTCGCCCTGCAGTTGAGGCAGAACTAGTAGTGTCTGCACTGTTCTTAACTGCTAAAGTGAATTTATCCCCGGTAGTTGGGAAGTTTTCATTGAAGCTTGCTAAGTCTGTTCATCTTTTCTTTTTAACGTTGCAGTCTATGCAGCAAAACCAGGATCCTGAAGTCTTTGCCCAGCCTAAGGTGTTACCCAGTGCCATCCCGGTAAGCTCTCCCTTTCTCTGAAGAACACATTCTCTTTAGGTTTTTCCGCTGGGCATGAAGTAAAACATTGTTGCTTGAGTGGCAAGTTGCAGCTCTCGGGCCTGGAGCCCTCTCAGGTGCCCTTCTGGGCCGGGCTGCCCTGCTCCCCCAGCAGAGTTAATTGCTGTGGCCCCTGTGGGCTTCCGGTCATGGTCTCTGGAACAGTGCCTTCCCTGACTGTGCAGAGGGGGGCGGGCTCGCTGTCCGCTGAGAGCATGTCAGCCTGGTTTCCATGAGGAGGAAATACTCTTTGTCCTTCGAGGACCCTGATGCCTGGTTGAATCACCACCGTGCTCGGGCTCCAGGCCTGCATGCTCTGCTCGCTGGCCTCACTTTTTAAAAGTTGTCCCCACCCTCCATTACCTGCCAGCCCTGAAGTGCACGCTGATTGTTTTCAGTTCCTGAACTTTTACCTTCCCATTTACCTTTGAGCCTTTATGCCTGGCCTCAAGTCTCAGAACTGAAACTGCAGCCCGCTCCTGCCTGGTGGTGGTAACCCATCTTCCCTGTAGCTTGTCCTGCCACCTGGGAGTCAGTGGGGGCAACACCAGCATCAAAAACAGACTGGATGGCTCAGGCCCCAGAAGCCACACCCTTAACACTGTGGCTATTTATAAACGAAGAGGGTGACAGGAGAAGGAGAAATTGAGATGCTTGTTGATTCTGTCAGATGCAGAAATTACTAAAAATGCTGATTATTTCTGGTTTAGTGTGTTCTGTTGGTTAGCCATTGTTAGTGTATAAGTACATCTAATTGGGGAAAGGAGGTAGATGTTCGTTTTATGTGTAAGTTTTATTTGTGTCTTTGATACCTGTGGTGGTAGAATAAATATATTGAACACTACAAAAGAAACTAATGTTTCATGTAACTGGGTTTTTTTACTCCTTTTTAAGATGTTATTTACTTATCAGGGGGTGGGGGTGAGGGCAGAGGGAGAGGAAGAGAGAATCCATCCCGAGCATGGAGACTGAGGCAGGGTTCGATCTCATGACCCCGAAATCATGACCTGAGCCAAAACCAAGAGTTAAACGCTCAAATAACTGAGCCACTCTATAACCCTTCCCTTCTTTTTTTTTTTTTTTTTTTTTTTAGCAAAACAAACAAAAAAAAATGTTGATATGTAGTACCCATAATAAAATGTAGGTGTTTTACGAGTTTTAGCATACATAACATACCTTGGGTACCAGTCAAGATATGTAACATTTCCATCACTCCAGAAGGTTCCCTCATGCCCTCCTCCAGTCATTTCCCTGCTCCCCATATAAAACTTTACATTTTTAATTTATCATAGGTTTGTTATTATTGTGCATACCCCGCTGGGATCATACTTCCTTTCTGTGATGATCAGACTTGGCTTCCCAATAAATGGACCCTTCACCCTTTAGCTAACAAGCCTCATTCATGACCATTGTTCGCCTGCAGGTCACAGGCCCCACACTGGTTACTGCAACAACCATGGCAGTGTCTTCGGTCCTGTTGTCCCCAAGTGTTTTCCAGCAGACGGTTACAAGATCTGCAGACCTCGAAAGGAAAGCAAGTGCCCCTTCTCCGCTGACTGTTGGAACATCAGAAAATCAGAGAAAGCCTTCCATTATTCTCAGCAAGTCTCAGCTCCAGGATACGTTAATACATCTAATAAAGGTATGCAGGCCATCCCAGCAGTTGAGTCTGTAAATTCTTGTCTTCAATATTAAAGAACGTATGAGTTCTTCTTAGAAAATCAGTTCATAACGTAAATTCGAGACTAGCCAGAACTAACGTTTCTCTCTTTCTGAGCATACACTCCCAATGGAAAAGTTTCTGAGTGAATTCCAAAATATTGATTACGGTTGCCTCTGGGTTGTGGGATTCCTTGGGTAATTAGTTATACATCATTTATACAGCTTTTTTCCTAAGCTTTTGTCAAGGAAGTAAGTTCTGCTGAGGTAAACGAATCATTCCCATCTCTTCCAGAATGATTCCAGCTTCCTCAGTACGCTTCACGAAGTCTACTTGCAGGTTCTGACCAAGAACAAAGACAACCACAACTTATGACTGGAGCAGAATAAATCCGAAGGCAGAATGTCGACCTCAAACAAATAGGCCTCATCATGGAAACTTCTAAACAGAACATTGAGTTTTGAGAATCCTGAAATTGAGCCTATGAGAAAGAGACTCATTCCTTAAGAATGTTTTCCAAGTGACGTTCTCAGTGATAATGGAGGTTTCACTGTGAAGCATCACCAGCAGACCTTTGTTTTGACAAAAAAAAAAAAAAAAAAAAAGAAAGAAAAGAAAAAAATTCATTGTGTTAAGTTGTGTGGGTGTTTTCATCAGCTCTAAGAAAGGATGTGAAATGAGGAGTCTGGTTTTCAGCTTGCTTTCACTCTCAAGGTCTTAGGGAGGAGGGGTCACCAGCCTTGCAGCAGAGTTCAGCCCAGCCCGTGCCCCTTCCCCTGCTCCTCCCTCCCAGAAGTTTGAGTTTGAGCCTTAGGCTGATGTCAAGTTCTGATCAGAGCAGAAGTCAGCTCTGTGCAAAGTAGCTTTGAGTTTTAAGGATCAGAGTTTAAGTTGGCAAATTAGGACTGATTTGTTCAAATGAAGTATATTTTTATGAATGCCCCATTTGGGCCTTAAAATTCTGAAACTTCTCAATTGTGTTTTGTTCTTAAGTGTCCCCAGTGCTGCCATGCAGCAGGCTCCCCGGGCAGCGATACCATGTGACTAGGGCCCCGCCAGGCTCTGTGATGGTATGGGAGTAGCATGTCACACCTTTGAAGCAAAGGCTGCGGCTGGTAAAGACTGAATTCGATCAGAAACCTTCACTTTCTGTTAACCTCTTGAGTGGTTTTGGAAATGTTAAGTTTTGTGTGAAGTGTAGCCTTATTTTCCTTTTCTGTCTAAACACAGAAGTCCTTGTTGATTGTTTTCCTTAACACTTTGACAAAAGGACCAGTGGACCAATCTAACAAAGCCATTCTGGTCCCATTCCTCGAGTCTACTGAGAGTAGTTTTAAAGCTATGCAGAAAAGGGAGCTGTTATTCACACTGCCCTTACTTTATTATAGAAAATGGAGTTAAAAACAAAGTGTGAAATTCAGAACTTTACCAATGTATTCCTAGGCTGTGAGTACTTTTGCAGCCCAAAGTGTGGAAATATGTAAAGATGCTTTGTTATGCTGCTATTGACCTGCCATGATTTATATTTATTCTTTTATAGCATGTAATGGTGATTAGTAATATTTTAATGTAGAATTTGATTTATTTCAGCAATAGTAATTTTAAGATACTCTTTGAATGAAAGTGTCTTCGTTTCTATGATACAGATCATTTTGTAGTATTTAACCAATTAAGATGCACTGCTTACTTTTCTGAGCACTATTTAATGATGGGGTCAAAACCCAGTTGGCTCAACCAGGTAGCATAAGGATTAGCTGTGAATAATGCTGGTGGATGTGGTGGTTCCTCGGGAACAATCATTTTAAGCTTTAATGGTAACTTAATCATAAATCCATAGATTTTCTTTTTTTTTTTTCCTAGCTCAGATTTTAGAAAATTACTTGTGAATTACATGCTTGTTTTAGTTTGGTCTTAGTTTTTTTTAGCTTAAAGAATACTTTGATTGGCTTTCGTTAATCTAAATGCTTCCTGGGCAGTCTTCTGCTTGTCAATTTAGTGTCTTTTCTTGCTGTCTACATAGTTACTTGTGAATCGTGCAGAAGTCAGGGAAGCTTAGAAGTTCTCATACTCAAGGGGGGAAGAGCTTGTTTTCAAAGCTAGTGTGTAAACCCAGCAACCAAAAATGAATTGATCGTACATCACCCAGGAAGGACAATGTCGGAGCGAGATCCAGAGTGTTGCTTACACCAGGAGATGGTGTCGGGGGAGCTACGTGACTGTGACTGTTCTCGGGAAACAGGCTTGATCGCACCCCCAGCGTGGTTCCGGTGAGCTTCGGTACGTGGAAGAATCAAGGGATTCTTGTTATAATAGACATTTGACTTGAAATGATCTGAGTATGCGTAATATTATGAAAGAGTTAGAGAATATCCTAAGGAGGGTCGGTAATCAGATCTGTTAATTTTCACCCTTTCATCCAAGGAATGAATAGGACAGACAAGAAAAGAGAATCTATGATAAGTTTTCCGTAGTGGGAAAATAAACTTCGAAGTGCCCAAGTCATGGAGACTTGAAAAGGGTCAACCTGTTTCAACTCTCAAATTTATGTATTCAGAGGATTTACTTAAATTCAGAAGCCAGAAGTTCACCGTCATGATTACCAGGAGGTTCGGGCCAGAATGAGTCCTTGAAAGGTCAGGCCAAGCCTGACTTGTTGCAGTTGGATGACCCTGGCCCAAAAGTCACAGATCAGTTGCCTTATTCCTCGGTCAGATTTCCTATCCAGAACCTCACGCTAGCTTAGGTTGCATGTGTCCATAGCTGCCGTGACTTGACTGGAACCTTTGTCTCAAACCTTAGTTGAATCAAAGTGGACACCAAAACACAGATGCCTCTGGCTAGGTTTTGCAGTTAGGCCACTGCATCTGTCCTTGCATCCACCCCAGCCCCAGTGGGTGGCACTGCTCCTTTGCTATAGTTAACATCACCTTTGGATCGACCCCTGCCCCTCCCATACAGCCACGTTCCTGCCCTGCAGCAGCTCCTCCGCAGCGGGCGTCCTTTCAGAGATTTGTAAGGTGGGACTTTGAATCCTTACGTTTTTAAGCGAGCCTGTCAGTGTTAGAAGATGCATTTCATACTGTGTGCATGGAGTGTCCTCATCTCACCTTGCAGACCTTCGGGGGGGGGGGGGTGGCCATCACAGAGCGGGGTTCTGCAAAGAGTCCGAAGTGACGGCCACACAGGCCTCGTCTAGAATGTGTCTGGCCCAATTTTGCATGTCAAGCATCTGTCCTTTTTCTGCCTAGGTTTCCTTATAAAACTTAAAAACCCTATCGAATCTTGTACTAGGTAATATGTTGAAACCATGCAGCTTTATTACCATCCCTACTCCCCCCAAGAATGTAGTTTGAAGTTTTCTCATTGGGGTAGTAGAGGCCATAACTGCCATCGTATCCCTGATAATGCAACATGAAATTGAAGGTGCCTAACCGCTTAAAAAAACAAAATCAGCCATCACACGGTAACTGGGCAAAACATAGAAACAGAGGAGCGAGAGGGAGCACAGGCACAAGTGGGCCCAGTCCACAGGAGTGAAGACAAGGAACCACAGGGACGTGGGTCCTGCCTTTTGCTGCATATTTGCTGCTAAGCACGAGTTTCGTTCTTACCGATCTTTGGTTTTCTTCGGTTGTATTCAGAGTACCTTCTGGAACCAATAGTGCCCTGCATTTTCAGGTGTATAAAATGTTAAGATCTAAGTCAAGGAAAGCAATTTACACTAGGCTTTTTCAAAGCTATGTTTAAGAACATTTCCCTGAGGGCCGGGGCCTCAAGGAGCCTGTTTCCCAGCAAAATCAGCAGGAGCGAGGTGTGCAATGTTTCACTCGGTTTTCTATTCGACATCTTCATTTGAAATGCTAAGATGCAATATCGTTCACTTTGAATGGGGAAGATGCAAAGTTGTGTTTCCCTTTTATCTGTGTGATTCCTTAAGAAACGTGTTTTTAAAATCTGTGTTCTCATTGGTTTTTTTTAATTCTGTATTACTGCTTTGGCCATGCAGCTCTCATGACTTTCAGTATACGGAATTCTCAGCTCCCTGAAGTGTGGGGCTGAGAAGCTCTGGAATTACAGCAAGGTTTTTGTTCCATGAGCGCAATACTGCATCATTAACATTTTTAATGGTATGGATTTTATACCATCTGTGTATGTTTGCAAATATTAAGTTATTACATGTTTTCAGATGAGCATTTTTCATCCTAAATTTTATATGTTTGCAAATATATTTTTTTAATAAAAGTTCAAAACCAAGTTTTAGCACCTACTAAATTTTAATTGTGTTTTTATTTAATTTAGAGAAATGGAACTTCTAAATGTGTTGTTACCCTTTGCCAGAACCGCACGCTGGTGAGATGGGGAGAGGTGAGAGGACAGAGCCGCCAGAGAAGGCCCTTGTCTGCCCATTGCAGACAGAGAAGGCCCAGTTTGGGCCCGGCCAGCTACGCCGCAGTCCATGTGGATTCCCAGGTCCGAAGCCCCTGAGGCCTGGCGTCCGTGAATGACTGAGCACTTCCTTCCCCGGTAGCTGAACAGCGAGTGTGTAACGGCTGCGAGCGGACACCGCAAGAGCTTCACTGAGTCTTCAGTGGCTACCCCAGCCAGAGGGTGCACTTCTAGTCACAGCCAAAAACACTGTTCTGTAGGAGATGACAGCCAGAGCCAGTTCCCACAGTCTCACAGTTTGTGCTTATCGGGCTGTCACATGACAGGCATCTAGGATGACAAGAAAAGAAAGAGGGTGGAAACTAAAATCTGATCATTGTGGGAAATAGAGAAAAGTTTCAACGGGAAAAAAAAAATGGTTAATCTTCTCTCTCCCTAACAACTGTTGACATGTTAGTGATCCGAACAAAATTCTGCATAAGATGTCTGTTAGACCTGCCTGCCTTCTCAGGGCAGAGACGAAGGCAACCCATGCCTTAGGACAGTCACCATTACAGCTGCACGCCCACTCGGTACTTCCAGGGTTGCCGTCCCATTTGCTTGATCTTCGGAGCAAGCCATTCTAAGGAGAAGGAAGTTGAAGCAGGAAGTGACTGAGGTATGGGCCAAAGGTTGCTTCTTAAGCCAGCGCAGGGTCTTGAAGCCAAGCAGGCCAGAGAGCTGGTCTAGAACCACTTTCTTCACTCCTCTGTCTCCATGATGGATGGTCCTGGATTGCTTTTTCATAGTTTCTTGGGTTATCACTGTTTATTAAAGGCTAACGAGGTCTGTTCATCTTGCTGGTTTGCTTGTGTCGGCGCCTAGGAAACCAGATAACTGGGTTCATCGGAATTTCATGGAAAGGGAATGTCAGCAGGCCCTGCTGTAGCAGAGGAGTGTTTGGGGTTTTTTTTAAGATTTTATTTATTTATTTGACAGATCACAAGTAGGCAGAGAGGCAGGCAGAGAGAGACAGGGAAGCAGGCTCCCCATGGAACAGAGAGCCCAATGTGGGGCTCGATCCCAGGACCCCGGGATCATGATCTGAGCAGAAGGCAGAGGCTTCACCCACTGAGCCACCCAGGCGCCCTGGCAGATGGGTTTTAGTTTTCTTGGTTGTCTCGAACGACGATTTCATGCACTGTTTATGGATCCTGGTTCCATCTCAAAGATCCGGTGCTAAGAACCC